AGGTTAACAAAGCTCATAATTGCATGTGTATGGATTTTTACGTCTTTGCAACTTAATACGTATTATTTTGGATTATTATTTTTTTTCGTGGAAACATATATTTGAAATCAAGGAGTGGGAAGAAAAGGGTAAGTATGAATATACAAGTTTCCTCTCTCTGTTACTTTGACTTAGAAAATAAAAAATGGCATCTCAACCAACAATTACACTCAAATAGATTTCTAATAAATATTCATAATTTTTAAATTAGTTTCAAACAACATCATAAGTCTTTTACGCGTTAATGTCAGCAACGATGCAAATGTTCCTACTTCTTATTGAGAATACACGCTCAATTAGGTGGTTTGATTGACTTGATTTCTTCTCAATAAAGAACTGCCTAGACTTTATGCAAAAGAAATAAATTTGATTGACTTGATTCTTTTTAACATGTTATTAATTGCAATATAGTTTTCACACGAAAAATTGTTGCCTGAACACTTTCACTCTTGTGGAATCATTGAAACATTTGAGTGCCTTCCTTGATTTATGAAATTTATCACTTTGTTGACATTAGAAAACATCGTCCAAAAATTAATAGTAACCCCATCAATTATTCGAAAATCATCTTTTACACAACAATTGAACTAGCATGAACAGCTATGGCCTATCCTTACTCTGCAGCCATTATTAGAGGCAAAAGATGTTATTCATAAACTGGTGGGATCTTCATTTATTGCAAGCATAGCTCAATGCTTACTTACCTAAGAATCATTGGCAAAGAAAAACAAATTAGGAAGAAAAATTATCAAATGCTTTTAATTCTGAATATGCATTTCAATTTTCACCATTGATAACTTACATCTAATGCATCAATATACTTTAATGTTGCAGTGACCAAGGCTAAAGAAAAAACTCTGCCTACAACTAAGATGCAATTAGCAGGAACAAAATGCTACAATTAAGATGTAATTAATAGGAATAAAATACTACAATTAAGATTAAGGAAGATCTTTTTGTTTAGCAAAAGCAAAGACCTCACCAACCACTTCGATTATATATCCAAATATTTTTTATTTTGCATCATGAATTCTGTTTGAACATATATATTTTATATAACTTATGCTTTCTCTTAACTTTTAAACTTTATGTTTAATGTTGACTTTTTGTTAGCTATAATTAAATTTCATGCTAATAATTTTGCTTGGAACATATTTGTTTTATATAATCCTATGTTTTATATTGGCCTTTAAACATATATATTTTATAGGATTTATGTTTTCTATTACCCTTTGGACCTACACCTTTTAATTATGCATTTCATGTTGAATTTCTAAAATGCTACTAAATACAACTTTTTGTACAATTCGAATCAGTTCTGTTTGGTATTTTTATTGGATATCTTCCCTAAAAATACAAAGCTTGAAAAAAAAAAAACTGTTATTGTCTTTAAAATTTTCTGCAGCGAAGCCATGGCCTTGGAAAGACTGTAAACAAAATGGATGAGATCACGATTGCTTTCGACTGCCTCTATAATCTCAGAAATACGAACGAACTCAGGCTCCATGAAAACTGTGGCGGCGTAAATCTCATCACCTATCAGGTGGATTTTCATTTTGTTTATGAAGCTTACAATACTCTTCAACGTCACTCCATCCAAGATATTACCCAATGGATTTGATGGATTGGTTATGAGCAAACCCTTGACTCTGAGGTTAGCTTCCATGGCATTCTCGGTGATCTTGAAATTATTGTTACTCTCACAAACGACTGGAACAAGTTCGACCCCTGTTCACCTCACGTCGCGATCAGATCTGCAAAGGAATGCCAAGTATTTGAGTAAACTAGGAACTGATTATCACACCATGAAAAATATAAAGTAACGAGAAAATTCGTAGTAATTGATTTTCTAAGCCGAAATTAGTCAACTCATTTAAGCCCATTGGTCACCAGTTTTCCTTTTTATTTGTCTATATTTCATGCATCCATGATCCGTTATGTTTCAGAGTTAGGCCTATGAGAAATGACAAAGTCCATGAAAATGACTACTTAACTTTCTCAGATTATTACTGTCCCACTGAGGGAGATGAGCCTCATATTTATTATAAATGTTTTTTTTTCTTTTTCTTTTTTCTGAAGATTAGCAAGAACTGTTCAATTATTGCCCTCCATCTTCCAGACAAGATTACAAGGTTCTGAAATCTGAAGTTTTCTATATATGTAATAAAGAATATCTCTGCACTAGATAATTATATATGTTCTTACATGATTCCATCAATAATACAGAGATGGGCCAAAAGCGTAACGTTTTTGGCATCAAAACGAAAAGATTATGTTGCTTTCATGACTCCAATCAATGGAATGCCCAACGAAGAAAACTACGATGTAAACCATATTTTTCCTTGAGAAAAAAGGAAAGAGGAAAGGAAAGTACGGAATTACCCAGATTCCATCCCTTTTGAACCAATCCCAGACGGCCACGTTGTCACATTTGACATTACTGCTAAGTTGACTAAATCAAGTTTCATTAAACTAATCTTAGTTATAATTTAATTGTTAATTACAAATTCCTCCCTCTTTCTTCTTATTTTCCATATGTGAGTGGGTTTGGGGATAAAGGTCAAGTTTTGTCGTACAAATTTGAAAGAAACTCTACTCAAATTTGAGCTCTCGTATGCATCTAATATCCATTTTCTTGTCATATATATTATTTAAACGAGAAACCAAAAAAAGAAGCAGGAAGAAGGAAATGTCAAAATGATGCATTACCCTGGATAATAGGGAGTGGGAACCAGAAATGCTTCTCCAGGAACTTACAAGCAAAGGGCAACCATCTCATGAGCTCCACCGCTCATAACAATGCGGTCTGGATCAAATTTTGCTCTACCTCCCGTTACTTTCCCCATAAATTTTGCAACAGCCTGTGGTAAAAGTACACAAGTTTCTTTGATCAGTATGACAGTATCAATTAATGTGATTAATTAATCAATAAATTAACAGGTATTGAAGTAGATGCAAGAACTCTGTTATAATTTCCCATGCTTATCTGAACTCAGACATCCCATGATACTCTTAGAAGCGTGCTGTCTCCTTGTATTTGTTTACACTTCGGCAGTGCAGAGGGAGGCTTCTGGGAGTTCCATGAGCCACTTTTCAATGAAGTCAAAGCAAAGCTGGGGAGGTGAAGAGCAGTAAAGTATAAGTTTCTATTAGAGTCCAGAACACACAACGTAATGTGACTACAAAATTCCTGGAGGTTTCTACTTACCTGATGGAAGCCATACGAGACCAACCCTTTTCATCTCCAAAGTTAGTATATGTTTCTTTTTACTTGAAAGAAAAGTTTCTTTCAAGCAGGAAAAGATGGTTGCCAAGTCTAAGATTGCAACTGGCAACGGTCACGTGAAAAATCTCCTTACTTTGATGGATGGAAGGCATACGAGAACGAGACCAACCCTTTCATCAGGTCTGTCTGCGGGATCCCCATTTTCTTAATTTCTTGGTTGTCCTTTTTAGAACAGTTGGATTACACCAACCAAGATAACGCTTTTATATCCCTTTTATGCTTAATTATAATAATTTAGAGGGAAATTTGATCAAAACATTTTTTATTACCAGTTAATGAGTTATTATTTTACAAATGAAACATTTGAAACAAAAAAAAAATTATAAATATTGAAATTTAAAATGTTAGACCATATAAACCAAAAAAATTAAACTCTGAATTAAACTAATCAATTAATTTATCAACGAATAAATTACTTCCTAATTTTTGGTAAATTAGTTCACTTTCTTCATCTACTTTTGACTGCAATTCTACCTTTTCATGCATTCCTTGTTTTACCTAACCCTCCTGATTTAAATTTGATTGGACTTGAATGGTCTTAAAAAATGTGCAAGTTACTCTTACTTTCATTTTTCTCTAATTACCGCTGTAGGATACGATTAAAACATTATAAAGTCTAGAAGAATTACTCCTTGGAAGAAATTAATATACAAAAACTCAAAGAGCTCTCACATGTCCCTGACGCTTTCTTTGTGCTGATTTTCGTTTGTCGCTGCGAAGGCATTTTTCACCAATTTAGTCGTAGCTGAGGAATCCTCCAAAGGAACAATATCTGACAAAATTGGAACAAGAAGACGGAGATACACTTGGTGGCTTCTAAATTGGTTACAAACTTTGTCAGCCTCAGGGGAGGCTAATTCGAGTCTTCCTACGGAGAATTTCATGGTCAGAGACCGATCAGATGAGAACTTTGAGGCCTTCATAGGCGTCCAATTCAACCCACTTTTTTAACTTTCTCTTTCAGTTTAAGTTGAAAGCTACTAATTCCTCTTTCATGAAGTCAAAACATTTGATTCCTGCTAGAGTAGCTTTGAACATTTTTATCTGGTATAATAACACTTGGGCTATTTGAAAAAACAGTTACAAAACAGTCTGACCTAGTCTTTGAAATGGTCGAACCATAACTTGAGGGACTTTCTCTGGGTTTGTTATACTGGATGACACTCAAACACTAAGAAAAATATAAATAAACGAGAATCATGTCGGCAATATCATCAAAAAAATAGATTAATTGCCACTGGTCAGAGAGATTTCTAAAATTGTTTTATGTCTTCTGCTTTAACCTGAGTTCTCCAACAAAATATCAAAGGGTTCCAAAAATAAAAAATTCGGATTTTCTTTGTAGTTTTCGTGTTGGGATAGGGAGTTCACATGCAGCAAACAATAATTGAAAATGGTAAACTTGCCAAACTTTATTCAATAATCGTGTGAAATTCAAGGTAGTCATGTATTTGATGATTTAATGTGAAACTTGAGAATGATTCAAATTAAAAAAAAAAAAATGGTGAATTCACAACAGTTGAACACGTGAGGGCAGCCATAGGCACTTTGATGCAGCAGAAAGTAGGAATTGAACAAAGAAGTTGGGAAACTGTAGAACATTATTTTTTTTTCCAATAATTTGACTTTGGTATGTATTCTATTTCAAGTTTCGAGTCTTTGACAAACTTCAGACTAATGAACAATTTGGAAACTGTAGCTCATCAAAACCTAAACCATCATTGTCCAAGTTGTTCAGATGAAGTGTTGAGAACTCAACATTCTGGTCCAACCAAATACATTAAGCTCTCACACCCATCAATATCATATTTATGACAGTATACATAATGCTCACGGTATGAAATTGCCATACTTTGAGACCCATATCCAAGATTTATATTCACTTCTTCATCAGCAGGACCACAGTATGAGCTGCAATACTTCGATTTTCACCAAGGCTGTCAACCTTCTCGTGAGTCTTTGCCTTGAGATTGACAACAGACAGGTCGGCTCCTAGCAGCTCAGACAAGTTGGCTTTGATAGCCTCCTTGTGTGGGCTCAGTTTTGGTCTTTGAAGAATTAAGGTGGCATCCAAGTTTCCAATCTCATAACCTGCCTCATGCATGAGTCTCACCTGAAATGAACCATGTTGCAGAGGATGAGATCTGAACAGCTAAAATTGTGTATATATTCCTAGAACGAAGATATAATAAATGATGGCCTAGCATGACTAACTTGAGCGCATAAGCAAAAAAATTCCCAGACAAACTCTTTCTACTCATTTTATTTTTAAAAAATACTCTATTACAAGGGTTCTATATGATTGTGCCTAGCATATTGTTATGTAAAAACTTAGTCAGGGAGTTCTTCAAATGATATACATATTTAGTTAGTACTAATTTCTGAGATCGGAATTCAGTAGAAGGGGAATAGATCTCTTTCCTGCATCAAACAGTTAATGGGTCATCCACATCTATATTTCAAAACAATCATGGATGTCATATATTCTCACGCTTTATAGTTTGTTTTGCCTTGCTAATTTGTTAATCATTGTTTCCTTGTGCCAGTTCCACAATCAAATTTTAGGTCAACTCAAGAGAGGTCTATCCTATCAATTTAGGGTTGACAATCTCACATTAAGTTAAACTTTTAGAAAGCCAAATAGCCAAATCCTTTAGAAGAAAGCAGAACTAAAAGAGTTGGATCAGAGGAGGCATTGGGAGAACATTTAACTGATTCATTCTGTTCGCTGGCTAATGCAGTATATATGCAAATTCAGGTTCGGCAAGGATTCCTCCACTATACTAAACATACAGAAAAATACATGAGAGCTTCTAGGTGAAGAATATAGCATAAGATGTTTCGCATTTCACCTTAAAGCCTATATTGACATCAGCATATAGCATCGCTTAGCAAGAAAGATATATAGCATCTGCGTCTAAAGGGTTTTCCAGCCCATACATGAATATGCCATAATTTGGTCAATAATAAAGTTGATTCCGTTTCCTACCACAAACAAATTAGGCTCGTTTGAAAAAAGGCTGTCAAACAAAGCATTAGAGTTTTTACAGAATTTTGCAGTGAAGCAATATCACACCTGATACATTGCTCTTAAAAGCATCAACTTTTATTAATTTACTTTTACCTAGGTTCATTGCATTGAGGTTGAGGAGTCACTATCAGAGTCAAAGCATCAGAGCTTTGCTCTAATGCTGCAGTATCATGCGCACTTCTCTACTCCTCAATACAGCAGACCTCTATTAATTTGTTTTGCTAATGCATCAAAGACAAATTACCAAATGCTTCGAACTAGCAGAATCAATTTTTGTTTCTAAGCAGATACAAAATAACCAGCCATTCCCCTCAAGAGATCAAACAAGTAGTGCTATACCATATGTGGGTTGACTACAAAGACCGACTATGTAGCCCAACCCACTCAACTCAAGGAGTTTATTTTATTTTTTTTCTTATTAACAAGGCTAAAAATGATATTTCATAAAATTTTAATACTTAACTATTGAACCAAAGTACATTAATGGAGCCTATAACTTTCAGACTCATTCATATTTCCCTGGCTTAACCATGCACCTGAATTAAATAATCACATAATTCAGCTCTGCATTATCTTTTCTTTTACTTTCTATTCAACAAAACTTCTTTGAGTGCTATGATTTTTTTTTTCTTTTTGGTACTTACATTACCATGGTTCTACTCTAGGATTGGTATCCCAACCTAATACTTTTGATTAAGCAAACGCCAGATTTTAGATAGAAATTTCATAGTATGGCAATAAACCAATCTAATTTTCTTTTCCTCTGCTTTTACGTTAATCAGCAGTGAACCAGTCAAAGGCTCAAAGCATCCACTATAAAATCAGCACCCCAAAAAGATTTAAAAATAAAATAAAACGAATTTCTCAAAATTACCCAGAATCTACATTAAAGAATACTCACAGCTTCTTTGATAAAGACAGAAGATGGAGCTCCTTTCCACTTGGGATCAGAGTCAGGAAATATCTGCCCTATATCAGGAAGCCCTAAAGCTCCCAGTATTGCATCCACAACACAATGAAGCAGCACATCTCCTGCAACATATTGATTCCCATATGGTTTTCATCAAAAGCAAATTGTGGAAATTTTAAACAAAAAATACAACCAAGAAATAGAGATTACGAGATAACAAAAAGAAATTTTATAAATTAAAACCATCCAAATGCAAGAACTTAAAGAAATAAAAATGTGGCGTTTGATGTTGGGAAGGAAAATAAATGGGAAAATTCCGAAATTAAGAAAAATAGGAAAAGGGAAATGAGAAAGATACCATCAGAATGAGCCTCACAGCCTCTATCATGAGGAATATCAATCCCACCAATGATCAAAGGGTAGCCAGGCTCCAACCGATGAAGATCGAAGCCATGGCCCACTCTAAACGGCAAAGACTTGGAAGGTTTGGTGGAGGTGGTGGGTCCATCGACTGCAACGGAAGTAGCAGCTGGTGAAATTGAAGCTCGAAGAGTAAAAACTGAAGAAGAAGAAGAAGATGATGATGTTGATACGAGGTTATTATGATGCCTAGTGGTTGAGATACGAGGATTAGGTAACAAAGCGGACTTTTTTGAGATTGTTGTGGAGGTGGGTTTCGCTGGAATTGGAGAACAACAGTAAAAGTGAGTGGCCATAGCCGTTGAAATCTTTGTCTTAACAAAGAACAGGCTCTATTCTTTGGTTTGTGGAGTAGTTTCAGTTTCTTGGTTGGCTGTTTCTTGGATTTCTTCTTTTTTGGTATTTGTGGCAGCCTTTTTTTTTTTTTTTTCCCCTTTATACACGCAGGTCGGGAACCAAACAATTTCATTGTTTTACCTTTTAACCAGTGGGACCAATAACTCCGTCTAATGGCCCAGTTCCGATGTTTTTATTGATGATTCACATTCAGTGTAAACACAGCCTTTGCAATCCACCGACCCTACGAATACTAGTCCCAAATTCTTAAGTAATTGTTAGAACCTTTTTTTTTCAGAAAACTGTGTGGGGCAGTTCTCTGGGCTCTGCTACTGGGTTGCTCAGGTAAGGAGCTGCAAGCTTGTCAAAAAATAACTTCATAATCAGGTTCAAAAAACCTGGCAACACAAATGCATATGCTTTCAGTAAAAATATGCAGCTCCAAGAGCCCAAGTAACATGTTCAAACCTGTTATTACCAAGAGATGCACTTGTGCACATCATTTTAAGATGATATCTTGAATACTTAAATGAGCATACAAGAATTTAGCATTTCAGCAATTCAGCCATGCCACATGGAATGAATACCAAGAAGAGAATGTAGAAATAAACATAACACTTTCTGTTATTATGATAACCCAGCTGTAAGTTTGATTTGTACACAAAAATGTACAAGTATGGCATACTGGTTTACAACAATGGGTAAGCAACTTTACTCACAGTTTCTACAACACGTTTGATATAAGAATATACATTTACATGAGCACCAAAGAAACGAAAAAAATCTCATTACAACTATGAGATGGAAGCCCTAGGTTGCTTGCATCCATGCTCTGGTATTGGATGTTCAGTGGCAGCTCACTTTGGTCCCACCGGCAATGGGAAAAGCATTAAGAAACTACATGAAATATCTGCACATCCACTCTCAAAGGGCATGCACGAATCCGTGAATTTCTATCTGTGACTATGAAATTATTTGTATGCAGTTTTGTAACATGAAAAATCATAAATGAATTACTAACCTTCTCCTCAGCACGCTGATAGAAATTTCTAATAAGTATATTTTTTGCCTCAGTAGTTATAACTGTTAAAAGTGTTTGAGAGGTCAGTCACAGTATAGAAAATGTCCACAGGTCAATTGAAAAAGTATTCATAATAACAAGTCAAGAACTTAAGTCAATGAGCTGTGGCACTTTGCACCAGAATGCAATTTCAATCGGTAGTGCCTTTATACTGGTAGCACAGGCAGTTCAGAACATACTTACAAATAAGATCCTCAACATTTTCATTCCAATTGACAAACTTCAAACAACAATTTTAATCTTGTACGCAATCAATCATTATATTCTAATTAGAAATCTCCATTCTTTGTCGATATCAAAAGTTCAAAACAAAACTGAGAGAAGATGGACAATTACAGATAAGTAATCCATGACATTTAGGTTACCGAAGAAGAAAATATAGAACTAAAAAAACAAGGTAAATCAATTACAACAATCCAGATGAAGATAATAAAAAAAAAATGTAACAAGTGGTAGCAGTGGCATGCATCAATTGCAGCATAAAAATCAATTTCCCAATCCATAACCATTTATTTGAAGCCTATTTGTCAAGACAATACCATTTTTCCAGCAAAATTAGATCATATCAAGTTCCAATTCAGACATCTAAACATACTTTCCAGCACTTGATACTCTCAAACAGAAATCAACATTCAACATCCTAGAAGGTATCCTACCCAAATAATTATCACAGTATATGACATGCATTGTAAAATATATTATAACTATGTGGATAAAAACTGAAATAATTCACCAACCAAAGTTTTCCATATTTTCACCACAGACAGTTTAAAGTGCCAAGAATATCTCACTTTCCCTCGGAAAAAAATATTGTTTCATAAGTAAAAACAAGGAGAAAGAAATATCGGTTCAATACCTTGATCAGGTGGTGGAAGAGTCCGGCTATGAGTAGGGTGGTGTGTGGCAGGTATCATTTTCTAGTCAAAAAGAAAAGGTTATGCTATAAAAGATAAGTGCAATCAATTCTTAACATGAATGAAAAATAAGAAGCATTTAAAGCTCCCAAAATGTTCAAGCAAAGTAAAAAATCATACAAGTGGAGTCAGTGCAATTTTGTTTAAAACCAATCCACAAAAGCAAAAAAGACTAATTTGTCATAAACTCTTCATTTGAAAACAAAGAGGGGTTCACTATGAACTCCATGCAATAGAATAGATCTCATATGCTAAAATAGCTCAAAAGGATAAAAGGACAGGAAAAAATTGTTCTATACCACTTAGACCTTTCAACTAAGCTTAATCAGAAACGTTATAACATTTAAGCAAGGAACCAATGTAAACTATTGAAACCAAAAAAGATACATAAATACATTTATGTCTACATATCTACACATATGTATGCCCACATAGAAACAAACTCTCAACTACTGTCTTAGCTAAACCTTAGAACTTTGTGACCATTGTTAAGAAACAGTCCTAAGAACTAAAACAGGAAAACTACCAAGTACACAGGAAGATCTGGAAATCTTCTAAAGCATGAACTTGAAGTCTTAGTAGTTTTTGAAGCTGATAGTGACATGCACTAGACAAAAGCTCATGAAGAATAGTTACCACCCATTTTAAGGAAACTCCCATCATTATCCTGTGCAAGAAAGCATTTCCAGGCTAATTCTTGTGCTGTATAAAGATCTTTGTCATTTTAGAAAACAGATAATAACAAGTATTAGCATTACTTGGATGTTTTACATAGAAACATCACCATATTACACTTTATTCCTTCAGATTAATCAGCATCCTAATAACAAATGTATCTCACACTGCAAACCATAAAATCACTGAAGTGTAATAATACCAGAGTTGGAATTCCATGAATCATTTAAACCCTACAATCAGGAAGCAAACATATTCATTTGTAACCACAAACAACTTTAACCAAAAAGCTTCTGACAACTAACTAATCATATGGACTAAACCATTAAGGTCCAAATTCAGAAAAAGTAAAAAAAAAAAAATTTCCACTAATCATATCTGGGGCAAACCCAGTAACCTAATCATAAATATGTAACAGTTTTTCACTACTCATAGAAACTGCATATAGGGATTTATGGCAATATCAGAACGGCTGAAACAAATAACTCATTCAGATAAAACCCCAGAAACAAAATTCATATGTTATGTATTTTGGAAACTGGGGATTGGTTTGAAAAGGGATTGTGGGGATACTTACAGAAGGATTAGAAGGATCGGAGGGACGAAGTTGGCTGAAGTTATGGGGGTCAAATGACGGCAGGTCACCAAGCACAGACCCCATTGGAAAAGAAAAAGTGGTGGTTTCCGGCCTGCACCCAACAAAGCTCAGGAGACTGGAGAGAGGTTGGGGACAAGAGAGAAAATGAGAGAGAAACCACTACAATGCCTGCGCCCGGTTCTAGAATCGGCCTTGTTTGTGCTAGTGTTGGATGATTAATCGGTAAATTGATGTTTATAGCGATAGCTTAAGCATCCATTTTAGGCTGTGGCCTGCTTTGTCAGTCCCACTCCCACGTTAATGAAAGTTATGGATCTGATAGATTTTAGATGTATAATATTTTTATAAAAAAAAAGATGGAGTATGATATTTTTTGAGTTAAATAAATAAAATTTAAGGAGTTAAAGATAAATTAAAAATTTTAAGAAAATTCACCGAAAATGAAAAAAAATATTAATACTAGTATTTTTTTGGATTTTTTTTCGGTCTTAGAAAAAAAAATTTTCTTTAGGGACAGACGGCTATTAATAATTAAATATATTTAAGTTTTTCATATGTGAAATTATATAAAAACAATCTTGATCATTGAAATTAAAAGTTAAGCTCTTTAAATTTATTGCTTAATATTAGGAATGAACTAGTCCAAGAAGGATCTGAAAAGATGCATCAGACTTATTCTTAATCCTTAGATATTTTACAACCATATGTGTAGATATGGGTACAGATATTCCCCAGAATTTAAATTACGTAATCCCATGAATGGAAATCCATGGGTTTCAATTGCATGTAGTTCTGTTAAATTACATATAGTCTCTCGTATTTGTGGTTCTATTCATCCGCAGCAGTTGCAGAGGTTCCTGTTTGCTTTCATCAAGCAAAGCAGCCACTGCACCCACAAAAGCTGCATTAATGTAAGTTGTGGGTTCGGAATGAGAGTAATCTGATCTCAGATCATTGAAATGGTCATTTGGATCAGGACCTCCAACAATTGCTCCAACATGTTGATTTGGATTTGGATTGTTAGAAGAAAAATAACTCGAGAAGCCATCATTACAGCCGACCTTGCTCGGGTGACTACGGATAGAAGGGATGGATGAGCCTCTATGGTGAAGCTGCATCGGATATTTGCTTCCAAATCCCACCATGTATGACATTTTCATGGGGTTGTTTCCCAAAATGTAATTCACCTGCATCAGTAAACCAATCAAATCCATTCTTGGTTTGATGTGATTCTCTCTTACATTGATTTAGATGATGTACCTGCAATTTTATGAAGTCTTTGATTTGGGAGGCAGAGAAATGGGCAGAGCCACATTGAATTCCATCAATATTAGATGCCTTTAAGGTTTCCGAGTAGACAGCCAGCACCATGCAGGAGCTTGTAACATATTGTAGATTAGCAGCATCTCTAACATACAGAAGACCACCTGAAAACAAACCAGAATATCTATTAGCTTTGTGAGAATCATACGTACGTTTAAATGCAATCTGCAGAAAGCTAATGAGTTATTCATTAATGATTTGGATGTGTACCAGAAGTTGTTTTAATCTGTAAAGAGCTACTCCCCGGCATCAACGCACATATAAATGATTCCACATCGGTCTTATATTTAGACAAATCCTTCTTCCCACCATAAAATTCCTGAACAAAATTCGATTAATATCTTTTCTCATTACTTATAAAGAGGAGGCATAGATTTTACAGCGATTTTTCGCTATACCTTCGCTAGTAATGTCTGAACCCCAGCAAATTTGTTGTCCCAACTAAACTCTGATACTGCCTGACTCCATCCTTGGTTGCTCAAGACATAGTTATAGTACTTTTTATCTCCACTTGCCATGTATAGCCAAGCTGCTGACCATAATAATTCGTCCTGACAAAAGAAGCAGGAATGGGTAAAGCTCAAGTCAAACAAAAGTGAGGACTATAAGCTTTATGTTTTACCTGATATCCTGAGAAAGAGCAGTAGAAAGGGCAAGAACCTGTGTAAGATCCCCTATACTTGTCTGCAAATTCGAATAACTGTGCAGGCAATTGAATGAGATTAAATGCATGTATAGGTTGCTAGGCATAAAGGAACTAATTTAACTAAGCCCCTTACTGATTTTGATTTGCTTAACAGCCTTGAAGAATAATTGGAATCAACCCCTTTGAAGGCTAATGAAGCAGCAGAAAGAGCAGCAGCAGCTTCTGCTGCCGCTTCAGTGCCTGGTGAATCAGAAGTGATCTTGTAGAGCGTTCGAGGGGTGTCCATGTCTTCAGGACGCTCCCAGCACTGGTGATCAGCATTTCCATCCCCTACCTGCATGGGAATGCAAATAGAAATTGAATTTGCTATCTATTTAATAATTTCTATTGATAAAAAATTTCTGAGCTAGCTGCATGAGGCAGTATTCTTTTGCAAATAAATATACAAGAAACTGACACAAACCTGGGTATAAAGTGTGGTGGGTGAAGTATGGGCTCGCAATATAAAATCAGTGCCCCAACGGATTGCGGTGCGGAGGTTGTTAAGATGATTGGCTTGAGAGATTTCCTGCCGGTACTCAACAGCTGTCCAACTTAACAGGGTGACTGTGAACGCCATAGGCCATCCGAACTTCACATTGTCGCCAGCATCATAGTAACCTCCCACCAGATTGACCTGCCACAAAAAAGCAAAACCCCAAACTATAACATTACATTTCAATAACTGGAGTTTAGATGTCAGTAATACCAAGCTTCACTGTTTTATTGTTGAAAAATCAACACTAATAGCATTCCGAAGTTTTGAAAAAAGGGTTTGTGGAAGCTCAATGTCATCATCACTCAAACTACTAAGTTTTATAGCTAGCGTTATATACTTTATCAGGTTTGCCATCAGTGAGTGCAGAGTCTCCCCTCCACTTCATTCTCTGGCTTGCAGGCAACTTTCCTGAACGTTGTCCTTCAAAGAACAAGATAGCTTTGTCAAGTGCATCCTTGTAGTCATAACCTTCAGCAGACGAACCCACAACCTCCGAGGCCAGTCCATTATGACTACTGCTAAGCATGGCCAAGATGCAGCACAAGACCAGACCCCATATTATTTCACTACACCTCATTATGACTTACAATTGCAGGGCTTCAATGGCTGGTCCGCCTGGTTATTTATAGACCCTTCTGTTAGTAAAATTAAGAAAAACAGAAATAGTAAGAAAGAAGAAAATATGGCTTTGAGACGTGAATAACATTATCTTAAAAGCAATTATGCCTATAGGATACACAAAGCTTTAAAACTCTTTAAATCAGAACTAGTAAAATTAATTAGGCAGAAAGATCTATTTATAATAAGTGAACAGTCATCAATTAAGCCAATTCAAAAAGTTATGACATTTTGTATAGTCATGTTTTATTGCTTAAATAAACTTTATTTAAACAGTCATATTTTTCTGTTTAAATATATTTATTCATGCTATCATGTTTTTCACGGTTCAAACATATTTATTTAGAATTAGTAATATTTTGAAATAAATAATGATAATAATAATAATAATAATAATAGTAAAAAGATTTAAAAAATTAAATTTATTTGCCAAACAAGCCCAAGTGTCTCAAGTGCCTATCTTTAACTTTTAAAATTGTCTGACCTATTAAGAAAACTCCTAGCAAGCCCAAATGATTTGGTCCACTCCAACACTTAGTTCAATTATTTAAATAATATAAGTGATTTCTTTTAAACCATATATAAGTGATCTTTCTACTCAATGTGGAATTCATTACATTCTAAACTACCAACAATCCTCCATTAGTTTGGAATGTTGGTGCTTAATCTTTAACTTTCACACAAATAAATATTATGAATACAAAAAAGTATCTTTCAATTTAAACATTTAATTAGCATATATACCTTAGAATTCTAACAAAGTTGATGGTGTCCATAGATTAAACCTCAACTCCTAGTGTTAAAATTGAATATATAACACACATAATACTTAATATTCTGTCAGAGGTTTATAACCGCTTTAGCACTATTACGGCCATGTGCTTATCTTTATTCATAAATATTTACAAGAAAGTTTTCAATTTTCTTGTTGAAACGGCACCGCGTTTATGTTTATATAGGTGGATTTTCTTAGTTATGTCTCCATTGCTATAAACATTTAATTATAAACTCTATTAAGAGTTTAATCTCATCTTCCATTTACGCAATGGCTTACACTAGTATTCCAAATATTTAGAATCGATTGACTAGTGTTTGCAGACACATAACAATAATTTGTGGTTACCTATTAAACCTTGCAATTAGATGTTACTAATTCAAAGTTAGGTTCCCATTATTAGTGTCTAAAAAGAATTTTAAACCCATTCCACTTGTGGTGCTTCTTACCAAATTTCTAGGTAGCACCTTGGTAAGAGGATATGCTAAGTTGTTAGTAGATTTAACATGTATGATGGTAATTACCTCATTTTTTTTTATCAATTCTCTGATATAATCATGTCTTAGACTAATATGTCTAGATTTTTCATTATAAATTTCACTATAAGTTCTACACATAGTAGCTTCACTATCATAATACAAGGAAATGTTGTCATTGGTTGTGGCCACAACTCTATATCCATTAATAAATTTCTTAGCCATTTAGTTTCCTTGCTTGCTGCAACTAAAGCTATAAATTCAGATTCCATAGTTGAATATGAAATGCAAGTTTGTTTCTTGGATGTCCAACTAATTGCACCACCTCCAAAGGTAAACATCCATCCTGAAGTGGATTTATTATCACTTATACTAGTGATCCAACTTGCATTTGAATATTCTTCCAAAATAGTTGGATCTCCGAAATAAAATAAGTCAAAATCTTTAGTTCTTTTAAGATAACATAGAACTCTTCCTATAGCTTTCCAATGACTTATACTAGGCTTACTTGTATATCTTGATAACTTGCAAATACAAGCTATATTGGCCTAGTACAATGCATAACATACATAATACTTCTAATAGCACTAGCATATTCAAGTTGTGCAATTATATAACCTTGATTTTTTGTTAATTTTATACTTGTATCATATGAAGTATTGACTTTTTTTATATTGAGATACTTAAACTTATTAAGCAGTTTCTCAATATAATGACTTTGATTAAGTACAAAACTCTTGTTATATCTCTTAACTTTAATTTTCAAAATGATATCAACTTCATTTAAATATTTCATTTTGAAATTAGAAATCAGATACCTTTTGGTTTCATTTATGCCAATCATATTGGTATTAAAAATTAGCATATTATCCACATAGAGATATATTATAACTCTATATTCTTTAGTAAATTTTGAGTAAATGCACTTATCTGCTCCATTATGTTCAAAACCATTGGCTACTATGATTGAATCAAACTTTTCATGCCATTGTTTAAGAGCTTGCTTTAGCCCTATAAAGTGACTTAACTAATTTACAAACTTTATTCTCATTACCTGGAAGAATAAAACCTTCTGGTTGTTCCATGTATACTTTTTTCTTTAAGTCACCATTTAAAAAGGTTGTCTTAACATCCATTTGATGCACGTGTAATTTATAAATGGAAGCTAACGCTATAATAACTCTAATGGATGTTATTCTAGCTACTGGAGCATATGTATCAAAATAATTTATGCCTTCTTTTTGTTTAAAACCTTTTGCAACTAATCTTGCTTTAAAGGTTTATACAGAATAATCTGTATTATATTTCTTTCTAAAAACCCATTTACATCCTATAGGTTTAGAACCTGGAAGTAAATCTACCAAGACCCATGTATTATTGGACATGATTGAGTCCATTTCATCATTAATAGCTTCTTTCCAAAAAGTAACATCTCTTGAAGTCATAGCTTCATTGAATGTTTTAGGGTCTTCATCTACATTAGTAGAATTGGTGTTTTCTTAAGCACTTCAGTTTTATTTCCTTCTACTATGAATACTATAGAATCTAGAGAAACAAAATCAGAAGGTAAAAGATTCTCTTTTCTAGTTCTTTTTCCTTCTTCTAATTTCAACAGAATCATTACTTTCTTTTTTTTATTTCCAGTCGTAGGAATCATTTCAATTTGTTTCTCCATATCAATTTCAAAATTACATATAAACTTATTTTCAAAAAATTTTACATGAATAGATTCGACAATAACATTAGTATTTAAATCAAGAAGTCTATATGCTTTTGAATTTTATGCATAACCAACAAAAATACATTTAATATCTCTAGGTCTTAATTTTGATTTATGAAGATGAGATATTTTCTGAAAGGCAATGCACCCCACACTTTAAAATAATCCAAATTTGATTTTTTGCCATGATTCTAACGTTCATATGATATTTTTAAGAATTTTTTTGAAAGAATTCTATTATGTATGTGGCATGTTGTTAAAAATGCTTTTCCCTAAAGATTTAGAGGTAATTTAGAATTTAACAACATATTATTTACCATATCAACCAAGATTATTTTTTCTTTCATCTAAACCATTTTGTTGGGGTGCATAAGAGGCTGTCTTTTGATGAATAATTTCATTATCTTTACAAAAAAGAGAAAATCAATTTGGAAAATATTTGCCACCCCTATCAATTCGAACAATTTTGATTTCTTCTCCTTTCGATTTTCAACAACTGATTTATGTTCTTTGAATTTATCAAAGTTTCATATTTTGTTTTCATTACATACACAAAAGTATAACGAAAACTATCATCTATAAATGTTATAAAATACCTTTTTTCTTCCCTTTGTTAATAAACCATTTAACTCACAAATATCATAATGTACGAGTTCTAATAATTTTATATTTCTTTCAGCTTTAAGAAAAGGTTTTTTAGTCATTTTTGCTTTGACACAGATTTCACATTTAATGTCATAATTTTTTTGGTATGTTATATAACCATGCTTAGTCATATGATTCATATATTGATAATTTAAATGTCCTAATCTAGCATGTCATAAAGAAGAAGAATTCTCAACAATATAAGCAAAAATATTATTTATTTTATCAATGCTTAGTTTAAACATACCATTATTGGAATATCATTTTCTAATGAATACACCATTTTTGGAGACTATAACTTTATCAGACTTTAGTACAATCTTAAAGCCTTTCTTACATAATAAATTTGCAGATACATGGTTCTTTTTAATATCAGGAACATAAAAACATTAAGTAAAGTTAGTTTCTGTCCTGAGGTGAATTTCAATTCAACCGTTCTTTTAGTTTCTATCTTGAGGTGAATTTCAATTCAACCGTTCCTTTTCCAATCACTTTGACAAAAACATGATTTTTCATAAGGATGTTTTCTGGTCTCTTGCATTCTTCATAAGTTTTGAACTACTTTTTGTTGTTGCAAACATGAATTGTTACACCAGAATCTAGCCACCAATCAGATGATTTATTTGTAGTAGCCATATGAACTTCAATGATCATTCCAATTTGCATGTCAATCACCATTACAACAAGTTCATTAATTTCTTACTCAACCAGATTTGCCTTGCTTTCGGAACTAGAACCAATTTTAATTCTAGCATTTTTAAATATGCAATCTTTAATCAAATGGCATTTTTTTCCACAATGAAAATGCATTTTATTCTTGTTAAATTTGGATTTCTTAAATCTTTTCTTCTTAACTTTAAAATTGTTTTGAAATTTACCAAAAGACTTGTGAGCTTTTTCAGAATTTTGTCCACTCACATAATTCACATTGGAACCTCCAAAAAAGAGTGCATCTCTTGCACGATTTTCTATTCTAATCTGTATGTGAGTATAAAATTCTTCAATAATGAAAATATCTATTGAATGTAAAATTTCTTCTTATATCCATTTCAAGAAGGAGAAAGTTTTGACAAAATAGCTTCAACTTGAAGTGAATCAGAAACCTTAATTTCTAGCTCACTTAACTTAGAAACCAGAATTTGCAACTCATGCATTTGGTCCATGATTGGTTTATCATTGGTTATTGAAAATTCAAAGTATTTCAAAGCCAAGAACTTATCCATACCTTTCTTTTCGTTCATGTATTTATGTTCAAGAGCAGTCCATATCTCTTTTGGTGTTTTCATATTTCTATATAGGTCATATAAACGGTCAAATAATGAATTCAAAATATAACATCAACAGACTAGTTCATCTTCTTCATGTTTACTTCTTGTTGCCTTAATAGCATCAAAATCTTCAGGAGTTGGTTTTGGAATTGGTTCTAAATTTGGATCAAGTATATAAAACATCTTCAATGCAGTCAATAGAAAAACCATTTTGTCCTTTCACCTAGTGTAGTTTGATCCATTAAAATGATCAAGTCTGATTACATCTTGATTTTGAAAGTGAACCTTCATGCTTGATTCCAAATTCATAGCAACAGTAAAGACAATAGTAGATGTAGTATCCATAATTGCCTTTAAAATTGTTAGTAAAATTAAGAAAAACAAAAATAGTAAGAAAGAAGAAATATGGTTTTGAGGCATGAATAACATTATCTTAAATACAATTATGCCTATAGAATACAACAAAGCTTTAAAACTCTCTAAATCAGAAGTACTAAAATTGGTCAGGCAGAAAGATTTATTTATAATAAGTGAACAGTCACTAATTAAGCAAATTCAAAAAGTCATGATATTTTGTATAGTCATGTTTTATTGTTTAAATAAACTTTATTTAAACAGTCATATTTTTCTGTTTAGATATATTTATTCATACCATCATATTTTTCACTGTTCAAAATATTTATTCAGAATCAATAATATCTCGAAATAAATATAATAATAATAATAATAATATTATTATTATTATTAAAAAAATTAAATCTATTTGTCAAACAAGTCCAAGTGCTTCAAGTATCTATATTTAATTTTTAAAATTATCTGACCTACTAAAAAACTCTTAGCAAGCCTAAATGATTTGGTCCACTCCAATACTTAACTCAATTACTTAAATAATATAAATGATTTTTTTTAAATCATATATAAATGATCTTTCTACTCAATGTGGGTTCACCACGTTCTAAACTAACACTTTCTTTACTAGCACTAATGTCCCAGCTGGTTAATTACAATAACAGGAAAGTTTTAATTAGTTATATCACTTGCTTCTCAAAATTAAAGTTAATTGGATTATTATCTGGTTTAAGAAATGATGGCAGAATGGAGGTGAACGTGGCGTGCGGGGAATAAATTAAATGTTGAAAGGTCAATATAAGTTGAGTCACAAGACTGTATTAATTATGAAAGTAAGAATAGATAAGATATAGTTACATTGCACCCCACTCCTTCACGTCATTTGCCATCCTAATTCTTTTCTATTTTTTTTTAATATCCTTCAACAAATGAAATATAGTCTAGCATGTAATAATTATTTAGCATTTTGTTTGTTTAATTTGTTTTATTTCAATTTTAAAATAATTTTACCTGTAAATCAATATTTCAATGAATTTTTTTTTTCAATGCATGTTAGCTCAAGTGATAAAAGAATTTACTCTTTATTGACTGCTTGATTTCAAATTCACTTAGAGATTATATAAAAAAAAAAATTCATGAATTTTTTTTTTGAGTTCAGATATGGATAAACTTACTTGAATCAATAATATATAAAAAACCAATATTCATGTTAATGGTTTGACTACTAATAAATGTATGAATTATGATGCTATTTTCAAATTAACAAGAAAATAAAGAAATTATTTCCTTCAAAGGACGGAAGATTTTGTTTATATTAATATAACAAACAAATAACAACATATGTGGAAAATAAGGGGTAAGAAATCATTGAGTCATCTTTAAAAAAAAGAAAAGAAAATTTTCTTTATTTCCTTGTTGATGTAAGATTTGAATTATGACATTATGTGAAAACCTTTCTCATAAACAAATACAATGATCTCACTCACATGCTGAATATATAAGATCATATCTCTTTTCGTTGGAGAGCAATCAATTTGTGAAACAATTGCATGTGGTAGGTTTTTTTTTTTCACCAATCAAGTTCATGTGATGATGTGTGTATATATATATATATATTGTCATCCTTTCTTGGAATGGCAAAACCATTTCAGCATTAAGCAAATAAAGTGTTCATGTGCAAGGCGTTGTGGCTCTAAATTATTTCAATTTTTTTTGGTTTCTAAAGCAAAATGCAGATTGGTCATTTGCTTTGCTTTTCTCAAAATTCCCCCTTTTGCATCCCCTTTTTTTTTAATTTGTGCATATATATATATATATATATATTCTTGAATTATTTTTTCTAAGATAAAAAATTGCACAATTAAAATGTACAGTACATAATAATATACACATGTACATAATAACTAAAGAGAAAATTTATATTATCTTATGACTTATTATATTCATTTTAAAATTTAAAAAATTAATTTAAAAATGATCTATTTAATCCTAATTATCACTAAAAAATTCTTAGACTACAAATGTAATGTATTATATATCATTTATTTTAAAAAAATTTCAATAATTTTTTTCAAGGTATATTATATTACTATTGCAATTTTTTTTTGTTTATAACTTTTTTTCAAGATATATTTTATTGTTCTTACAGTTATATTCTTATGAAAAATAATATTTTTTCAATTTATTTTTCTTCTTTCATATATTTTCTAATATTTTTTATATTTTGCATAATAATTTAGTCAATATTACTAAAGTGAAAGTATGTGAATATTTCTTTTATTATTTAATTTATCATTTAATAATATATATTTTATGTTTTTAAGAAAGGCATAATTTATTTTTTTTTTATATAATTGTATAAGAATATAAATATGATTATAAACAAAATTTTCCAAAGGAAAGACATAAATTTTTTTTGTTGTTTTCAAAAAGTTTATTTTTTAACAACAAATTAATATATATATATATAAATTTTATATACGTTATGAGTTTTAAAATTTTAAATATAATTTTAAACAAAAATTAATATATATTAAATAAATAAAATTATTTCGTATATCGCACATGTTATAATCTAGTATGAATATATGATAACATATTTAATTGATTTGTTTATGAAGATTAAAAATCCTATTGTCGTGCATAGAATAATAAGCTTTCAAAATTTTCATCATAATACTTTTTTGTCTTCAATGACATACAAGATAATTAAGTGGCATGTGAACTTCATTTTGTTTTTTTCATAAATTGAAGTAAAATAAAAGTTAATATATTAACGGAACTAAATGGAATTTGAGTTTTTTTTTTTTCCCAAACTAAATATTAGGAATTTTAATTCTCTAATAAGGATACTTTTATTTTTATTTTTCAAAATAGGAGATTTTTTACGGTAAGCACGAGGCAAGCCATGCATGTCAACCTATAACTGTACCTCTCTAGGTTGTTGGAAAAAGAAAGAAGTAATGAAGCAAAAAAATCGGAAAGAGATGAAGTTAAAGGACAAATGTGAATTGTCTGGTACTTTATCTGTAAAAAAAAATATCGATGTTAGGCAATAAAAATAAAAATATTCCCATTGAGAATTAAGATTTCAAAATTTACATTTTGGTTATAAAAAGCATCTTTCGTGGTATGCTTGAAACAAATTAATCCAGCAAAAAACAAAACAAAGAACATACATGATCCTCACGTAAACAAATCCAGATGTCTATTTAATAATATTTATTTCTTCTTCACGTAAATAAGTTCTCATTAATTCAGCAATCCTCTAACCTCAGTAATGGATTCAAGGGCTACCTGAAGAATATAAATGGACTTTGTCCACCTGGAAAAACCTTCAATTCTACTAATAGATGTATCCAAGGCTGAACTGTTCACCTTGAATTTCAAGTTCAGTTTTGATCAGTGCACATAATTTATTATAAAATAATTGATTTTTATGTCATTTTTTTAATATTAATAATTTAATAATTTTTATAAATTGAATGAATTTTAATGGATAAGCCAATCCAAACTTTGAACAAGCATTTTGAGACGTGTCAATCGCATTTTGGGTCCATGAATACTTCTGGATGCTAGTACATGGTATAGTTTAAAAAAATATATAAAAATACAAGACTGATGAGTTAAGTTATAAAATTTTGATAGTAACCATCATGATTAAGATATTTAAGATATACCTTACGACTATTATGATTTTGTTTTGTTCAAACTGTTTTTCTCATCATTTGACGAATTAGAAATCATCTTGCAAGTGTTTAATTTGTTTTTTGACTATTAAGTAGTAGTATATGTTGAACAATCAAATTGTTTTTTTTTTTTTTTTTGTAAATATTGTTGCTGCAACTCATATAATATATTCTTTTATAAGAAAATATGCAATATAACTATATTTAATGCACATATGTAAATGTGATTATAATTTATATAGCTCTATAGTCTATAATAATTTTATTTTTTTAAATTTTTTATAGGATTAGAAATTTAAAATATAATAAGACGTCTTCACAACGTGAGGAAAATGCCAAATGGACCTTTAATGGACTATAGGCTCTATCCTTGCAGGACTCCTTCAGAGCCAAGTTTAAAACCTGGCCCGATCCCAGCCACGGCCACGCTGGTTCATCACAATTTTTTTTGCGTTCATTTGGAACTGGGAATGGAATAACTACTCCAACCAAAAACCAAAGAAGCTGAAAGTTATGATATGAAATGAAATTTGTTACCTATACGAATAAAATTCAACATACTGAAGTCAGAATTCCATTTTATGGAATGAAAAACTCCGAGTTCCAACTGATAACTGGGTGCCTTAGCTCTTCTCCTATGCCATTCCAGTAACTTTACCTACAATTTTCTACCTCTGCACTGAACAGTGATCAAGCCATGGCAGCCATCAGAATTTGATTCAACAGAACACCTAGTAAACATGAGGTAGATGACAGAACTGACCCCATTAGTCGTGCACTTTGGACTTTATGAATACTGACTCTACTGTCTTAATCAGCGCTTCCCACCCTGAAAGAGAGAAGTAAATGGGGCAAAGCAAAACCAAAACTAAAACAACATACTCCAGGAAAGAAACACTTGCATAGTCCATTGCCAATTATAATGAACCAAACTGAGAAGAAGAAAAGATCTCAAAAATGGACAATCTAATTAAAACTACACTTCCATCAGCAATATGTGAACCCAGGAAGGGTGTTTGAAAACCTACAAAATCTTGGTAAGTAAGAAGATTTATAAGGCGTTGACAAAGCAGTTATCAATTGCAAAGGAATACTTGACAGTAAATGGTTGAATTTCTTTCTCTCGGTGGCATATTTCTTCATAGGGCCAATCCAATAATTAATCCATTGTCCAGAAACAACTAGATACAATTATAGCATATCCTCTTGTGATTCAAAGTTTATACCTGATAATATATAAATATTATAACATGGGACTGCTCACCTTAATTCTTTACATCAGAGTTCTTATTCATCTCATGTTTAATGGGATGGTGTCTGGATAAAATATGTCAAAAGCCTGCAGAATGCATTGCCTTAATAGACAGGTTACACCTGTCTGAAAGGTGAACAAAGGTTCTTACCTTGTGAGGTGGAGTTCCTGGCCTTAATGCATTGTTGGCAAATCCAAACTTTCCTTTCTTCTCTGAAGATTTAAGGATCTGAAAGGAACAAGTTAAAGAATCATCCACACTCATCATAGCACCCGCATTATCAAATTCACCACAGTAGTTTGGTGCAGAGAATATGGTCACCAACTGCCGCTTTGCAAAGAACTCATAACCATCTTCTACAACCTAAATGACGCATAAAACATAAAAAAAATAGATTAAAAAAGTTTACATGTCAGTAAGAAAGTAATACATGGATGCACATGTCTCTATTTTGGCATGATACAAAAGTTAATTACTAGAATTTAGTCAGAGTGCCCACTCTATTATACTGGTGTTAACAGGAAGGTTCCAGGAACATGGAGATAAGGCATCTGCAGCATGCAAAGATATTATCTATAATGATGTACCGTACTCTTCAATTTTCACATGTTTCCTGCAATTGCCTATTATATCATCGCGTAATGAAAATTTAGAAAAGAAATGTGAAAGATTCCATACATGTTTGTTGCAAGTCAATTAGGAAGGCTAATGCAAATGACTATACCTGGTGAGCTCGGCAAACGAGATCAAGGTTATGTTTCTGAAGGAATTCAGAAACTTTGTCAGCCCCAAATGTATATGAAACACCCCTATCATTCTCTCCCCAGCCACCAAGATCTTTATCAGGATCGGCCCAGAGAAGATCACAGAGAAGGCCCTGATCTGGCACATCAACAGGGCGAGCAATGTTCCGGATCTGATCCAATTTTTTCAAATCAGGAGATAATCCACCATGCATGCAAAGGATCTTCTCATCAATTAGTGCAGCAACAGGAAGGCAATTAAAACAGTCTGTAAATATCTTCCAGACACGAACACTAAACCTTCTCTTGCACTCATCATAGAAACCATATATACGGTTGATTGATGCACATTCATGGTTACCTCTAAGGAGAAAAAAATTCTCTTTGTATTTGATTTTGTATGCTAGCAGAAGACAAATTGTCTCAATGCTCTGCTTGCCACGATCAACATAGTCACCAAGGAATAAATAGTTTGCTGTAGGAGGGTACCCTCCATACTCAAACAACCGTAGAAGATCTGAAAATTGACCATGAACATCTCCTGCAAAAATAATACGAAAGGAAAAACAGAATTATTACATTCTCAATTTGTTAAAACTTGCTAAACCAACAGGAATTGAATTATATACATGCAAGCCAGCACATGCACACCAAGCATGCATGTGATATAGTTAATGAGGGTCAAGTTAGTGTGGTAATAATGTAAGATAAACTCAACTTGGAGAAGTCCAAGCCTCTTCAGGGCCAAAAAGTTACTAGATAGACCTTAAGGAATAAATTAAAAGGCCTTAAAATTACAGAGACTTAGATCCTATAAGAAACTAAAAAGACCACAAAGAGCTCATTTAAGGCTCAATAGCTTCTGCAATAGTCTAATGCGTGAAGGCCCAGCAAACAAGTCACAAACTTACCCTTTCGACATGTGTTGTACAGAGAGTAACAAACTTACTAGACACCCCACCCCCGCCCCAACAAACATATAGAGACACATAAATGCTAAAGAAAAGAAAAGAATAAGCGAGAAAGTCCAGCTTTATGAAAGGATGTAAAAGAACAAATAAACAAACCAAATAGTCCAGCTTTCAAGTCTTATTTTAAGTTCAGCCAGACACAAAGACATTTCAAACTCCACACCTCCGTCTAAAGATTAATGCAACACTGGCAATTCTAGAACCTTCATACAATAACATCAGTCTCGCCACAAAAGTTTCATTTCATAGCAAGAAGGTCTAACTTTCCCTTAATATCAGAGCAAAAACAATAGTTGAGCTGAGTGATGTGCACAATCTATATATCTTTACACAAAATTCACCCACCAATGATGCTTGCAAAGTTGCAACCTAGAGTAGTATTACTAAGATATACCATATACATGTGAGATTACAAGCATGTTAGGCAAAATTGTATATAATTAAATGCAAAACTCACATCTGAAAAATCAAGGCTACCAAACAAAGCACTTGCATAATTTCCTCGTGCTACAGATGTCACGGGCCTAAGGAAGAGTTTTGAATCTCACATCGAATATAAAAGGAAGATAACTAGGGTATAAAAGGGTCCACACCATTTTTTCCCTGTGAGTCGCCTTTTGTAGGATAAAACCATTAGGTCAGGGGGGTCAAAGCGAACAATACCTTACAAAGGTGTGAACTGTGACGGTCAGGCTAATCTGAGACGTCGGAAGGGTGGATGCCCGGGTCATGGAGCCGCGCGGGTCGGTGCTTAAGTCTCGACATGTGACAAGTGATATCAGAGCCAACCCTAAACCGTTAGATCTATGCCAAGCGCCTCGAGGGAGGTAGGCAGGGTGGCCAACCTCCGTGACAAGAGCGTCACGAGATTAGGTAGGGGAGAATGTCACAGACCTAAAGAGGAGTTCTGAATCCTAAATCGAATATAAAAGAAAGGTGGCCTCGGTAAGGTGGCCAACCTCCATGATGAGGGCGTCACGAAATTAGGTGGGAGAAAATGTCACGGACTTAAAGAAGAGTCTTGAATCCTATATCGAATATAAAAGAAGAGTAATTGGAGTATAAAAGAGTTCACACCATCTCTTCTTTGTGAGGCGTCTTTTGTAAGACAAAACCGTTAGGACAAGGAGGCCAGAGCGGACAATACCTCACAAAAGTGTGAACTGTGATGGTCAAGCTGATCTGGGACGCCGGAAAGGTGGATGCCCGGGTCCTAGAGCCGCACAGGTCGAAGCTTAAATCTCGACACGTGACACAAAGACTTGCATGGTGACCAAACCAATAAAGTATCTTGGTTGCTATCTCCCATTAATGTATTGCCAATAACAATTCAATTAAAAGCCTGACTCCAAATCCCTTTAAACTTCACAATCTTCCTATTGTTTGCTTTTTGTTTCTTCATTCCTTCCTCCAAGTGAATAGAATCTTTTACAATTCACATCAATAACTCTATTATAAACAGAAGCTAGAAATTTTGGTATAAATTTGCAAATTATTGCATCCATAAATATTAAAGATTAAAACTTTCAATGATAACACTAAACAAAAATTCCCCCCAAAGAAAGCAATGAAAAACGCCCCAAAAGAAATTAACAAATTATATAAATTTATATCTACCAAGTTATAAAAAAAAAAAAAAAACTTTAAACTAGTAACTATTACCACAAATCTTGATAGGAGCTTCAAGCTCAAGAAGATTAGGCTGACTAAGAAAGATCTCTTTGGAGGCAACACAAAGCTGCCTTATCTCAGCCTCCGTCAGATGAACTTGCTTGGTGGTCCTCCCAGTCTTGGCCCCCACCAGCCTCCTTATGATATCATCAAGCAAATTCTCATCCATCCAAAAGAAAACCCTAAAACAACAACACCTTTTTACTCAAACTAACCCAGAAAACAAGCGATTCTCCTTATTTAGAGAATAGGTTTCGTTTGCTCCTTTTGCCTTGTACTTCAAAGAGGAGGTGCGTATTGGACGCTTTCTCAGAGAATAAAGGAAGAGAGCTTCCTTCTGAAAGAGTCCTTTAAAAAGTCGTTTTATAACCCTTTTTTTTTCTCTTATTGGTAGACATGCTGCTTGCACGTGCGTAATGCCACCTTAGTTGTTTTTTTTTTTCTCGGTGGTATAATTGTAATATCATGACAAAACGCGGGAATTGAGTGTTCTTGACACTCACGTACCGCCCCTGTCACCAACCCTAGTTAAGGAGGTCATTAACGTAAAATCATTAGTCAAAGACGGATTCGGCCTGAAACGTGTCGTTTTTCTATTGGCTTTTATATGGAAACTTTTTCACTTGGCCTCATCGGATGAGCATTAGCGAATGGATAATGCCACGTCATGACATTGAGCGAAGAAAAAAGATGTCAGAGTGGGGATGACCTCACCGGAATATGCCCTAAAGGCCCCCAACCGACCGGTTATTTTTCCACAACAGAGACCAAAAACCGGACCTTTTCCCGAAAACTATAAATACTTGTCACACTCACTTTCCTTCGCGTTTCGCCCTAAAATTTCCAATTCACCCCTCCACTTCCATTTCAGCCGCAACCATGTTTGTCTCTCCCAAACACTCCCTTTCCTTCTACTTTCCTCCCAGTTCCTGCATTCTCCTGCACTTTCTCTTCTTCCTACGCCGTCGTTTTTTCCCCTTTTGACCAATTGTGCTTCTGTCTTTCTCTCACTTGAAACGTCGTCGTTTCTGCTCGTTTTTGATCGAGTGCGAAGTTCTTTCTTTTTTCGTTGGTTCGGGTGGTGGGGTGTTTGGATGGATGCGGTGGAGTTGAATTACCTGGCGGATGTTTCGAAGCTTATGGGATCTGAAGGTTTTGGAAGAGGGGCTAGGGTTAGTGAAGATTGTAAGCCGCTTCCTAAAGGTTCATTCTTTTTTACTTTTTTTTTTCTTTTTTTTTTTGGCTTTTATTTCTTTCTTAGTACCAGAAATGGAGAAATTTTTGTTTGGCTTCTGTAAGTTATTCTAGGGAAGCGAAAACAATGGTCTGAGGATAAAAAATTCAATGAAAAAAAAATGGAAAATGAGGATAACTGGTGAAACTGTGATTTTATTTTATTGTTTTAATCCCTTCTTTGGTAGTTATAGTGGAGAATAGTTCATTGGTTTCAAGAAACAGTTGAAAGTTGTCTGTTTTTAGTATTTTTTGGAAATGGGTTGTAGTAAAATAAATCCTTCTATGATAGGAGGGGAGACTTCGCCTTACCTTATTGCTGCAGTTATTGTTATTATGTTCTTCTTTTACTAAAAGAAGACTGTTTGTGATGATATAGTATTAATTGTGTACGCGGTGGAAATTGTGTTGGCAATTTTAGACTACCGTTCCCTTTCTGCAATCCTTTATGTCACTTATTCTTTTGCACGTCAAATAATTTTGTTAATACGGTTTATATGGTTGGAATGTTATCCCAACTTTTCTGTTCTCAATTTGTAGGTCATTAGTGTGTAATCTTTTGTACTAAAATTCATCTTTGACATATGTCTTAATAAAGTCTGATTTTGCAGATGAGACTGGCATTTTTAATGCTTTAGATTCTACTTCATGGAGTAAGATTCCTGATGTTGAACTTTGTAGGCATGCTAGTCAGCTGCCCAGATCTCAGATGGAAGAATTGTCTGAACAGCATGATCAGAGGGGCACCACTTGCCCCTTACCAAATCCTGGTCCTGATGTTGTTAACGCACAAAGAAAAGTCGGAAAAATGCCGAGGAGTGGTAGTGGATGTTCTAAGAGAGCACGTGTTGGTCAACTAGAAGACATTATGACTTCAGTTGGAATTGATGACGTAAAGGATATAAATGATAACTTCCCAGGTTGTACCTTTTCTTCCCCTGTTTGGAAATAGTACATTAATTTATTGAATATTTATGTCAGTCTACTTAAGTGTCAGATCATTGAGAAGGTTTTTGTCCCCTAAAAGTCTCTTCTTGGTCAAGTTGATAGAGCTTATCTGGTTGTTGCTATTTTCTTGTGCCCTTGTTTATTTTCATATTTAGTTCCACGTATGTGGCTCCTTCTTTTTTTTTTTTTTTTTGCAGTTGGATTTCTAGGAGTCCAATGTTTGGATTAGTAATAAATGTTATTTAGTTTGAAATTGCAGCGTTGACAAGTATCCTTGTTTTTGCCTATTTGTGTGTGTATCATGCAATCATTTTGATTACCTCCAGCATCTTGTATGAAGCGAAGGAGAGTTTTATAGAAATCATGTTTAAATTGTTTAATCTTGTTTCGCTTAAATTGGTGTTCTATCACTTAGATTTGACAAGATGCTTAGAAAATCTGGCTCTCCTCTTAAAAGTTTGTGAGGCACTTTTAGAATTTTGATTTGAAGGATTCATGCATTAACAAGGCAAGAGCTTTATTTTGTTCAATCCTAAAAACCTTGAGTCAACAATTGTAAGTGCATCAATTAAAATCATGAGTGGCCACTTTACTGGAGGGTAGGAGCTTATTTTGATCGTCTGTCTCGGGTTCCCACTTTTTGGATTATGACCCCTTATGTTATGTACTAGATGATAAAATAGTATAATGCCCCACGTAAACAGAATATTTCTCTCTCTGCTATTGATATTGCTGAAATAATGCCCTCTCTTACTAGTCAAGCCGTAGTATAAAGTCCAATGTCTAATTATAGTCAGTAACTTTAATTTGACATTCTATTGGAGTCATATTTTTTGATGAATAAATCACTTGGATGATTCTTGTGGAATTAATTCTTGTGTTGGATTTGTTAGTGTCCTGTTCCTACATAAGTTTGTTATATTACTTAGATGCTAGTTGCAAACTTAGCACGTGCTCTTCTTTTCTGGCTCCAATTTGGCCTCTCAATGAACAGACTCATTTGACAAATAATTTTGTTGTTGTTCTTGTTAGTTTGTAATGAGGATGATTGTACTTAACACTTATGCTAAGTCTTAATGGCAAAAATTTATGAGACTAGTTTAAATGGACTGTACAATCTAAAGGTGCAAAGTTTTCATGCATGTAATCTACCGAAGACAACAAGATTAGAAATAGAAAGTTAAAAGTAGAATCTGGATTATCCTTGCAATTTGGTAGAGATTATGCTGATTCTGTTTTCTCGTTTTCGTAAAATACATTCCAGATAAAACTCAAATGTCAAGACAAAAGAACAGCGTTAATGGCAAGCGAGGTGACAGGAGAAATTTCAAAGTTCCTATGAAGCCAAAATTTGATTCTTTCTCCATGAAGGTGGGTTTGGTGAGCTTTACTATGGCCTCTGGAGGGAACAACTTCCTTGGTATGTCATTGTTACCAAAAAAGGGTTTTGTTAACATGCATGCATATTTTTTTAATCTTATTCTGCTATGTTAATCATCTACTCATATAGTTTAAACTTAGCTGCTGGTCATATGTTTCTGTTCTTTACATCATTCACCTTTGGGCTTCAATTTCAGGATATGGTCTGAAGTCGGATATTAATGATGTCACCAAGCTTGTGGAGGATTTATCCTTAAATGGACTCCTTGATGGAACTTATGAGTACCCCATTTTAGGCAAGGAGAAGGGCAGGAAAGCAGCTAACACAACTGAAAACTTTCTACATTCAGTTAAAAAAGCTTGCTCCATTCTTCCGCTTCGAAGGGTTCAGTCCCAAAATTTTACAGATATAGACGATTCTTCCAACAAGAAAATGCCCATGTACCCATTGAGCTCTGTTTCTGGTGTGGCAGGTTGTATTAATTGTGATAAAGAAGACACCTGTTCTAAAGACCCATCACCATGCAATAAGGTGCATTTTGAGCAAAAATCTAATATGCTCGATCCTAGAAAGGTAAATGAAGTGAAAATATTGATACCTGTTGATACTTAATAAAACACTTTCTCCCTACTAACAAGAGCCTTTAGCGATTTTCATTTTCCTTGTTTATTTATCTGTTTCCTTTTTGCAACATTTCATGGTGTCAAGGTCATTTGACTCGGTCAATTCCATGGTCTGAAGTTCATTTACTGGACCCATTGAAAGCTGCGCTTGCATATGACTTTGTTTTAAATTCCTTAAGCCCAACTGGGAAGGGCTTTTTTATTTTGTTTTAAATTCCTTTTAGATGCTGACAAGTTAGTGATTAACTTTGTACTTTTATGTTGTTCAGACCCAGGATTCATGTGGCAACCCTGAAATGCCTGCTAGTCCTCCAGATTTTCCATTGTGTCAGCCCAAAGATATTCTGGAGCGCTTGGCATTGCCTCCACCAAAGGATTTGGACTCTTTACTCCTTGCTGCAACCAAGCCTTCTTCATCCACAAGGAACAATTCTGATACTCGTTCAGGCAAGCAAATATCCTGCCGAGCTATTTTGCCACCATTTCCCTGGTCACATACTTTTAATGGGTGTAGAACGAATCCTGATGTGGCTAAGCTTTTATCGAATAAGAGCACGTGCCAAGGCCGATGGGTAAAAATACCAAACACTTCCCGTTCGCCTGGGATTGCAACTGGTTGTTTTACCAACTTGGAGTCACTTGCTTATGATCCGAGCCTAATTCCTTCAGGTTCAAAGCTTGGTAATTTGGAAGGTGGAATAGCATCGTCCACTGGTAATCTCTGTTTCTGTGAGCAGGGTGCATCATCTCTTGCAACTTATACCAAGGCTTTCAATGTTCCTCATGGTAAGAATTTCTTGAAGGGTAGCTTCAAAGTGTTTCTCTGTCTACCGTTTTGGCTTAATGACAGATTTTTCTTTTCCTGAATTTACAGAATCTGGACTTGGGCTGGCTGATCAATGGAATGGTATGGTTTACTATTATCTAGAGTTCTCTCTCTCTCTGTATCTCTCCATCTCCCCCCCCCCCCCCCCAAACCCGTTTTTTGTATTACACAAAAGAGAATGCAGTCCCTAGTACCAACTTTCTCCTCTTTTAGTAGTTGGTTTGTTTGCTACAGATATGCTGATCTCTATCGAAGGAGTCATTTACTTGGTTTTCCAAGGGTATCTTATTTTCTGGATTAGGTTGCTAGTTTCACATGGTTCTTACTTAGTAATCCTGCCAGCCCCAGCCCCCCTGGGCATGCGTATCCCTTGTTTTAGCCTTTTCTTTTTGGGCTAAAGAACTGAATGATAGAAATCTTTCAAAGTGGAATTCAGTCTACTTGTTCTGGTACTGGCTATTTAGTATTAGATTTCTAGGTATCATTCTCGTATGTGAATATAGGCAAATTTATTGCTATTTCAGTTTTGTCTGTCATTTTATATTTATGGTTTTCTTTCTGGTGATAGTTGGGCACTGTCCAAGACTATTGGCTGCTGCCCAAACATTGTACGACATTGCAACAAAATCCTTGAGGCAAAACCCAGATGGGATTACAAGGTGGCCAAAGAAGCCTTCACAAAAGGCCATGAAAGCTCGAAAGATAAAGTCAATTGAGAAACCTGAGGAAATATATGCGACACCTTCTTCAGTATTGGGATCTGACAAACTGGTGAGAAGTGATATGGACCAGATAGTTCCCTCAAAAAGGCCCAAGCTCTCTGTAGTTGAGAAAAAGAAGGATCTCAGTCGTATCAATGGTGTTTCAAAAGGACCGATAGCTCGGTCTACTCCTAGATCAAGTAGATCATCACCTGGCAAATCATTAAGAGATTCAATTGTGGAGATAAGATATTCTACTGCCAATGTAGTAAAGGCAGGGTGTACAATGCGTCCGCCAGCAACTGTCTTGGATAAGCCTTGCAACAGTAAACATAAGTTGCGTAAACTAATGCCAGTAAACTGGAAGAGGGGGTGAGATAGGCTTGACTAATTAAGTATTCTTTTTAGATGTAGAAGTTGCATTCAACAATTATTGCAATTTATCATCCTCTGTGACGTAACCGGTGTTCCCGGATTATTTGTATATATTGTGTTGTAGGTGGAATGGAATAGTTGAGGCCTTGTGCTATGGGTGAGGGAAATGTTTCAATAGAAACAAAGGATTTTAGTGTTGTAACACCAAGGATAGTTGTAGAATAGTGCAGGGAATTCTTTGCCTTGTGTAGAGCAATTGATGAGGCAATAGAAAATTGAATTTCTCTCACTCTCGCTTTTGAGCCACATTTTCTTCAATTCAAGTTGCAGTATAAATCACTCCCGACCAGTATGAGTGGAAGACTTTGTTTCAGTTCATAATGCCATATTTGTAAATGCATAAGATGATAAAAAGGCAGCACTTGAGCATTTGCTTCAATGGCAATTGTTTGTCTCAATATCCATTTGCAAAGACAAAAAAAACACTTTAAGAGATGACATTTTTTCTAAGCTTACGGTGGGAATTGCGGCTGCTACTGAATTCAGAGCACTTAAATGGAAACTGGTTTCATTCAATTTTAATTCATTGCTTTCTCTGCTAAGTTCCTGTTTATGTATATTTACATGGTATTTGATGCTGCAGTAGCTGATCATTAGAATGGCAGCTTTGGCTTGAAAACATGAATGATTAGTTCTCATAGGAAAAAAAAAAAAAAAGAAATACACCTTACAAAAAAAGATTGAAAACCTATGAAAACATTTGATCCAGCAAAAGAACCAGAGCCATTGCAAATCCAGGATCAAATCCTGCCTCTATAATCAACAGAAAAACCTCTGGGCCGAAAGAAATGCCACCAACTATTGCATCTTTTCTCCTGATCTCTGCCACCACCCTTTTTGTCTCATCTAGCACTATACATGATCTGTTTGAATATGATCCTTCAATCATATAAGCATACCTTTTGTCCGATAACTGTCGATATACATATGCTAGCACGTTAGGGTTGGCATGTAACATGTTAATGCACTTCTTTACATAGAAAATTGGCTTTTCGAATGATTTTGCTGATGTGCAATAATCACCTACTTCCCCTCCATAGACAAACCAGGAATCTACAAGTCTAAGGTTCTGTCAATAAAGAATGTCAGATTAAGCTCTATATTACTACTATTTATGCATAATCACATTGCGAGAATTGTATGAGATTATAGTACCTTGCTACGTCGCATTGTCAGGATGGATTTTCCTGAGCCGTCCATAAGAATGAGTTCCTTGGGGCGTCCTATGTAGTTGTCAACTCGATAAACTACATTTCCATCAGAATCAATCACAGTAAATCCATTACAACTAACTATAAGTGATTTTCTCCACACTGTAAATGATGTGCGCAGATCTCCTTGTGTTTTGGATAACTCTGGCTGTTCTTGATGTACTTCATGGAATGATCTTGACATGGATTTCAGGAAAAGAAACATTTTTCATATGTTTCTATGTCTAACAACTGTTTTTGAAGCTTGAGAAGGTTATTGGGAAAAGATATATTTATAGGCTATAGTAAGACTAACCTATAGTAATGGTAGTTAAGCTATATATTTTTCCTTTTCCTTCTGAAAATTGTGAAAGAGACAACCTTTTACCTGTCATGCCTCTTTTTCTAGAGGCAATTTTGATGGGATTAAAACAAAAAGGTTTTATTTAATCTCATGTTGTCTAGATTTCACATATTCTCACCGTGGAAAATGGGAAACTCGTGTTTTCTGCTTACATGGTAACGAAAGATTCCAATTTTTCTCTTCTTTCAAGCACCATTTTTTAGGTTCTTACTTATTTCATTCGTTCAAGGATTCATAAAAAAGCGACATGTGAACCACAAAATTCTGTGAGTAGGAGAGAAATTCAAGATAGACTCGCTGCTATTTTTTCCTGCGGTTTCCTATCCGTTGATGTCAATCAAATAGTACAACAAAACAGAGAATGGTGACATCAGTGACCCCATTTTCATATTGTTCTTTTGTATCCAAAGTCTCTTATGTCGTTGCAATGCTAATCCTTGGTAGAACAGCTTGGTGGGGACATTGCGCCCAAGGCCTAGGGAGTTGGTCAATAAGTCTATAATTAATAACATAGCATGCATGGAAGAGAACAAATAGATAAGTCTAAATGCTAAAGACTAAATGTTTTGGTCTATGTTTCATGCAAAGATGCTCTATGTTACCAGATAAAATCATCCTGTCGAGGTAAAGTTTAAACTATGTCAACAGCTTTCTGCAAAACCAGTGAACTTCTCAAGTTGGTTTTTGACGAAGATTTAGCTACCAATGATTTAATATTGCTAGTAAATTTGAAGTACTTTTTAGTTGAGAGAAACATCATCAAACACTCAAAGTTCAGAGCGTTATAGACTGGTAAATCATTAGATGTTGGTCCAATGCCTTGAAATATCAGGAAAAACTATAGATTTTTCCATAGTCCTAATAGTAGCATTAAATTTCTGGAAGATCTATCGAATAATAATAACAAAAGCATGTGCCTATCCATTAGTCATATTCTCTTCAAGCACGTCTTTCCTTTAAGAGAGATAGAGATCGAAAAGGACAAGCTGAGTAATGGAATAATAACACAATTGAACATTTTTTTCCCTTTTAAACGATGAAGAGAGCCCTTTTTTCGTATTTTTTTGGATTCTTTTCTTTTTGGCAAGAAACTCTTTATTTCGAAGTGAGTAAAATTATAGTCCGAATATTTGATCAGTCCCTGTCTTAGCAAAAAGTGAATTTAGGGTTAAAAATTAAATAACTTAACCGACACAATTATATAGAACTATGCAACAACTCATCATCTATGTGCTAAAGGATATTTACAGCATGAATTATCTACTTCAAACATCAAAGTATTTTGTTGCCATGGGCAGCCGACCATGATTTTAAGCAACCCATATTCTGTTCATACATCAATTTTCTTTCAAACTTTCTGGTTTGGGATCTGTTACTATCTAAGAGTTATTTTACACATTTATATAATGCCTAGACAAAATCTGTGGACATGCACAAGCAATCTCATCTTGACACGATCGAGGGTCTCATATTCTTATATACCAGAGGGATCACCACCACTCTTGGTGTTTTCAACCATCAGAATTGACAATTGAAACTAACTTTGCAGCATAGGCTTTAATAACTAGATGCTTTCCTCCTTTGGGACTTCAAGCCACTATTTTTATGTAGTAGTTTTATAAGAAAGCATCAAAATCTTCCTATGCTAGTCCATTATGCCACCCAAAATCGAAATTGGACAAGAATTTTGCTACAAATAAATAGGGAACATTTATATGGCTTAGATTCGTTTCAACGTGAACATGTTATCATCAAATTGACACGCGGCCCTGATTACAATCAGACTATATCAGGTATGATGGTTCCCTGTGAGGTATTATTCTCTACCAGATTTAGACAACCATGCCAAGCATGCAAGTCCTGGAAAGTTGGTTACAAAACACTAGTAAATTTCCTTGTTGAAGTGGTCATTTTCTGATATTCTTGGCAGTGACCTATTACCAGGTTTCCTGTTAGAGAAAGAAAATGTTGTTCACAAGCTTGGACAGGCTTGTTTGTTAGGGTGGATGGATCAACCGATCAAGGAAGTCTGAATTGGTCTACCATATTAACAATTCTGTTATTTTTTCTTTTGCTGTTATTGATACTGTCGCTCTGTCTTGTTATCCAATTTCTACCTGACAATTGCTAAATCTTTTAAGATTTGATTTCGCAGTTGCTTCGAGTCAACAAGATTGGATAGGGACAGAGCTCTGGGCCTGTTCTTGTCTTTGTAGTCTTTAAATCTTCTCCAAGCCCAAAACCATAGATCTTAATCGTCTGAACAGATGGTTCGGTTGATAAAAATGCAGACTAAACAATCTGGTTTGAGTCGACTCCATGGGAGGCCAACAAGCCCATTAATCTTCAAGTATGGATGATGTATTGTCCGGGGAGATGCTAAAGTTTCTTGGATGACCATGCTTTATGGACCAAACCAGTAGTGATTTACCGGGCTTAAGCTGGCCTACTTTCAAGAAACATCCAGCCAACTTTTTTTCTTTTGAACTGTACTTTTCTAGTGATTCAATTCATTTAGTATTTTGCAAATACTTTTTAGTGAATGCCTGAAGTCAACTGTCAATATTCTGACTGGTCAAAAAATGCATATAAAAAATCCAATGTAGTGAAAACCTGTGAGGAATTTTGATTTTCATCCAAAATACCACAAGTTTCCTTTGGTAGGAATTTGGTGCAAGACAAAATATTGGGATTTTTTTTGACCTGTTTAAATCCCACACAGCTTCTCTTTGCCTGTCCTAATCATTGAGATTTCAACGTTGAATTTTCTATTTTCTTACCAAAGCATGCTCTCTGAAAGACAAAGCAAAAGAAATCAACACCACCCATTCATGACAAGGAAAGCCCAACCATATTTTGTTTTAATTTGTTGTTTCCTTTGATTATTTTTTTTTCTCTTATACATATAAAATATTTCATGAATATTCTTAGATCACATAACAGTCAATAATTTTTCTTAAATTGTTTCATATACTTCAATCTCAATCATCTCAAAAACTCCGGTGAGCAATAGCTTCTCAACATTGCTGCTGCAAAAGAATTAATTGAAAGACAAAAGGTATTTTCTTTTATAATTTTTTTCCTTGGCACCTTGATTTCTTTTGTAAAGCAAAGTTGCAAATAAATCTATCAAAACTAACAGTCTTTTGATTTATTAATAAAATATTAAAATTTTAATTTCAGTAATAAAAATTCAAATATCGTTAATCTCAAATATTTAAAAAAAAAAAAATTCTATCAATGATCGCTGATTAAGCCTACGTTGAATTACACCCTCCCTTTCACACATCAAAGACTTGGTTATGACTAGAAATATTCTGAGTGTATTCCCCCTTTTGCCAAATTCAATGTTCATAGGCTGTCTGCCATGGGAATTGAACATGAGGCCCGCGCCAGTACATGAAACACTTGTTTGTGTTTCCAGGAATTTTCCAAGTCTATCCATTAATCTAAAAGCTTAATTCGGCTCACATAATCTACTTTCTATTCCCATCAATGAACTTGTTCAACCCCTTAAAAGCTTTATAAAAAAAATGAATTAGTGCTTCTTTCTTTTTGCCATTATACAACAACTTAGTAGGATTAATTTCATGCTTTAATTTGTTCTCTTGCCAGGAACAGAGGGATACCCCTTTCACTTTCAATGATTAAAACCAAGCAGTAAGCAATCTTTTAGTTTTTATTATAGAATTTATATTTTATATATTATCAGTATAAATTTTTAATATCACAATCGGATTTAAGAAATTATCACGTGTTAACTTAATAATGTAGAAGGGATTTTATCGCCCATAAAAGAAGACTCTATGACCATATGAGAAGTAGTAATTAATAAATTGTAATATTCTTTTTATGTAACATGAATAAAGTAAAATAAGAGTTAAATTTATTATTTTATGTAATCACTTGAAAAAAATGACAATAAACAAATTTAATATTCAAATCTCAACATTCTCAAATTATAACATCTTTTAATTAAAAAATAATAATAAAAAAAAACAGGCTGATGATGATTAAGATTATCGCCTCCAAAATGGGCAGGGGAGTCTAACTCTTATTTATACATTAAAATACAGTAGTTGTGGGATGACTTTATAAAGAAGAAACCTAAAAAAGAATTAAAATTTTGGCGACCCCTTTGTACAGAAAAATCCAATCATATGCGCAGCAGAAAGCAACGGGTTTTAATTTTGTAGACACAAGTAAAAGCAGTGGGTTTTCTATGGATGGAAAAATAAAAAATGATTTGTTTGCACGATCAAATTTCATAAAAGTGAGGGAGTAATTAATTAATACTACAAATTCCGCAAGTCCTTCATTATTCCTTAAAAAAAAACAGTGAGGGATCTATGCTCCTATAAACTTACAGTGAAAGAAATAGAGTTTATAAGAAAAGTTTTTCATGGCAGGTAAAATCCACCATACACATCAGTTCATAAATGTTACATACATATCCATGACCAAGCTAAGATATTATATAAGTGGCATTGAAACAGTCTCTTCGTGGCGAAAGTCCATGCATACCTACTCCATATGTCGCTTGTCTTTCAAGTTTTGCAATGAGAAGAGAAGAGAAGAGAAGAAATGAGATGGATGGACTTCTTGCGGTCTTTTCACGTAGCAATCAGCACCATTAATGACGAACAAGTAAAGTCCTAGTCCATCTCTACCAAACAACAAAGATATGTGTAATGGTGACATAAGGACGGTTAAATTCACAGGAACCAGTAGATTTTTATTCCATGATTCTTCCTTGAGAAGGATGGGAAAATTTGTCTGTTTCTCCTTTCATTTCTTCAACCTGGGTGATTTTCTATGGCGCAGTGGCATATATCTATATATATAGTTACTGTAATTACCAGCCTACATGGCTACATCTAA